TTATAGAATATATATATTTTAGAATATATAAAATTTATATTTTTGATTTTATGGAAATCTAGTTCTTTTGCACTATATTATTTTACAAAATATTTCCATCTCTTCATTGCATATTTATTTCCCCAATGTTCCATTTTATAATTCAATTTAGACAGAGTGCACGGCACATATGAGCAACAGGCTGGCCCATAACACTTTAGCCATAACAATGAAAATGAAAATAAAAAATAATCATATAATATAGTTGAGAATACACGGCGCCAAAGAGCAAATTGAGACAAGCATGGCATATATACACACATACACTCGAAAAGAGCCAGCTACAATGATATTTCTGCCATTGTTTGAGGACGCAACAGTTGACTTTTATGCTCTACATGACGCAGCGCGGCTTTTCCACTTTTCCCCATGCATAATTCCAAACTGATATGAATTGCAGTTGAGCTGGCGCACAACGCGGCGTATGAGTAATATTCGTAACAATGCCCATAATTGTCATTCTTCCGAGCAGGTGGAGGCAGGTCTACGAAGTGGTTTGCCTTTACCACACTTTAAAAAGAAAAATACCAACTTATTTCAGGAGTGAAGAGGTATTCTAGAACAGGAATCAAAATAAATTAAATAATTTAAAATAGACCCCTTTGTTCTTCTTTTATTTGTATCAAATTAATGCTATATAAACGAATGATAATTACTTAGTTAAAATTGTAGCCCTTTAAAACCGGAAATATTTCAGATATATGTATTTTGTGGTGCCGCAAGCACACACATATTAAAACGAAATAAACACTCGACCGACCACAAATAAATTCGTTGTCTAGACTGGCCACAATTGTTGTGTAACCCTTAGCATTGTTTTAGCAACTGCGATATATCATTTTGCATGTGTGGCATGGCATATTAGCGCTGGTTTTTCCAACATTTTCACACATTTTCATTTCTGAACAAATTACGTACATTATTGCGGAAGAGCAGCCACGTAGCGGCAACAATAGCCGAAACCCTTTTCGCTCGGGGATTTTCGAGAGAGGGTTTTTTGGGGTTTTGGCATTATGAAAACGCTTTAAGCAGAAAATTGGATTTTTTCATCTTGAATGGAAAACAAAACACAAAAAACCAGAGGCAAGGGAGACGGAGCGAAGCGAGGCCAGGCAATAACACTAAAGCCCCCCAGCAGCTACAAAAAATAATAAGTATTAAACATCACCCGAAAGAGCAGCGAAACAAAAAATAAATGTTAGATATGCTGACAAAGGTAATACAATAAATACGAAATGACGTTACCGCCACGGCTGCTGTTAATGTTAAATTTTACGTAGCCTGCTTTCGGGCACCCTTGAGGTGGAAAACCAGGAAAAGGGAGCACTCTCCCTTTTGTTAGTTCGTAATCGTGCTGATTGTTCCATTTTTACTTGGCTTGGTTTGGGTTCTTTAATTTCATTCCGGGCTATTCTTATTTATTTAACATTAGTTTTTATTTTATGTGCCATAAAGCGGCAGCACTCGTACACTTGCCAGCATAGTTGAGTTAAGCATTTTTTGCTTCGAAAACGAGGTCAAGCATAAAGCAAACAAAATTAAAAACGGAGTCAAACTGAAAATGGAATTTTATTTGGATTTTATAGCAAAGCATAAATCAAGAACATACTGCGCCTAATTGTTTAATCAAGAGTGTAAACGGCGATAAACCTTGGCCATAAAAGATAACCCACCGATAAGCCGGTGCCTTACGAGAGCCTCTCGTCTGACTCACTCCCCCTCGGTAGAAAAACACACACACTCAACACACCGAAAATGCCAGCCCGGCCGTGTGTTTACCAACTATAAAACCAGACCCGAAATCACTAAAGATAACGAGCTGGCGAGTGCCACTCGAATTGCAATTGCAGTGCTGCAGGGAAATCGGTAGACGAGAATGGCCAGAATCACATCAGAATCCAATTGGCTGCACGTTTGTGTGGCAGACCACACCAAAAAGCTCTTACACCGCCGGCCATTTTGTTGCAGCTCGTACATATTGGCATTAGACTAATCCGGAGTACCGCACGCAACAACTTAGTTATTGGCCTGGCCGTAACCGAAAGCAGTTCGACCCAAGTCCCGGAAAATACCAGGAACTAAGCACTGGGGGAAAAACGATAGGAACTACAGGGTAGAAAGGAAAGTATCACATCAAAAATATAATAAAGTTTGAAACGAATGTTGAAATACCTAAGAAATATTGCATATTCAACTGTTTTTGTTTTTGTTACTTTGTTTCGATCTGTTGAACATTATCAGTTTTCAAAAGTTTAGCAAAATATAAAAGGTAAGCCTTTCCAAAATGTAAAATATATATACCTTAAGTTATTTATTGTCCTTTAGTTTAATCTCTAATTTAAAATGGTTTTCTATTCAAGATTAATTTTCAAACTTATCAAAAAACTTTGCATAATAATTTATCAAAACTTATGTTTCTTCTCTGTGTAACAACTTCTGTTGTTAGAACTCTGTTTTTTGGCCCTAAGCAGACGGTATGGTGACGCACATTAGCCGATAGTGCCAGTCCATGCATTGCATACTTTAGACCATGGCTCCTCCTCCCGATTTAATGTGCAACAGCGAAAAGTTGAACGTGCTGGCAGCCAAAAATTCTGTTTTTTCATCCTCTCAACTTGGCAACAAACACACTCGCACTTACACTCGCCAACTGATGGCCATTATCAGCGTCATTATGTGGCATTAGGAGCCGCTCCACCCTGATGACGATGATGATGTTGGGCAGCTTATAGTTGTATGCGATTTATTCGTGGTGGCCCTTCGCTTTGGCCCCGCACACAGAGAGTGTGTGAAAAAGTGCATTTGAGCTCATTTAAATAGCATAAATTAAGATGCTTAAGCTCATTAGGTGAAAATTTTTAATTAGCCAACACAGGACCAAAGCCTTGTAATGACCGTCGACTGCCAGGTGCCCTCTCATCCTCATTGGGAGGGTTAAAAGGAAAAGGGACGGCTTATCAGTCAAGTGGAGCTACAAATTATAATAATTATACAGCTAATGCAATTCAAACGAAAATGCGTCATCTAAAGAGTTATCATTTCCGTGAAATGACGTAGTTAGATAAATAAATTATTTTCCTAGTAATTTAATCTTGATAATTAATGGTAAGCGAATAGGGGAATAAATTCCTGTAATTATTTGTATACCATTAATGATGCCTGAAATTGATAAAGTCTGCAAATGAACTACTTGCTCAATATATACCAAAATTGTCTATAAAAACACATCCCATGACAAACAGTTTCCTGCCTTAAGAAGCCTTAAATCCATACAGATTTTCTTCTATACACACACCAAAGACAAAATAATCGAATTTCTTATAGAAACACCAGAGGCAAGAGATTACCCTAGAGGAAAGAACTCCATTTGCCTTGGCAATAGTTTAATATCAGAGATTTATGGTCCCATAAAATGGAGAGTGAATTTGCGAATAATTTTAAATGAATCATGTGCTCCGGTAATCAAGCGTTGCCATATCAACCAGGGCACGTGACTCGTGATAAGACCGGCGTACTTAAGACGGTTTCCAGAGAACGCTACCAGATAAACAAAGCACTTGACTCCCGGGCTAATACCAATTGAGCAGACATAAGGCTGCCAGCCAGCCAGCCAAACAGCCTTCCCTTCACACGTCTCTTGGCCAAATCCTTGAGTAATCCTCGCATATTACACAAAGGTAGAGTGGTTGTTTTGAGTTCTGCCGCTCCCAGCAGGAGATAAGCACACTAAAGCTGGCCGAAATTATTACGGTTGGCACTTGGCGGAACTTCGAGACCTTGAAAAGGATTGAATCTCTCGCATTTGAGATATCTTTGCATACCCCTAAGAAATCCGGCATTAAAATCTTTATGGGAGACCTTTAACATTTTTAAATTGATAAGGTTACTTTTGTTGTAATTAGTATTTGCATTATTCACTTGGAAATTCATTGTGGCTTAACTTTGTTAAGTTATTAGAAATCCTGGCTTTGTAAAAGTTGAGATAATAAATATTAAAGGATTAAGGTGAAGTATTGAACATTTTAAGACAATTTTATATCAAAAGTATAATTACGAAACTTTTAAATAACCTATTGTTCAGGACTTTAATATCTCATTCAACTCGCTGAGCTATCACCTTGTGTTATGTACAACTGTCCATTCCCCAATGATTGATTGATCACTTCGTCCATCAATTGCTGGCTCTTTAATAAACACACTGCAGCAGTACCATATCAGCGGGTGTCATATTGTTGCAACAGAATGGAACACGGACCCACCCGAATGGTGTCAATCAGGTAATGGAATTGTGCGACGTTGGCCAACTCGTGCTTACACTCAATCATTGATAATGCCACAATAACTATACGAAAATTGACCGGTGGGCTGCCATAATTGTGTTTCGGTCCCGGTTATTCGCCGATTACCTTTTCTCATCGGCGATAAGCCAATGCCAGCGCCTATCAAAGGCGTTCTGTTCCCCGGACTGTGTTGTTGGCTTGTTCAGCAATCCACAATCGCAAAGTGGTTTGGAGCTTGTGATAAAAAATGTAGTCACAAAGATTATAGCCAGCTCTCTCATACAGTGAAAAAATACAGATTTTAAGCAAGTATAATATGTGTTGAAAAAAGTTTAATCAGTGCTTCGTCATAAAAACATTTCCTTTTTTTGTAAATAAACCTAAGTAAGCAATAAAAAAATAATATATACCATAAGTAACATTTCGAAATTATTTTAAAATATAAATTTCCTTGTAATTTCTGTGAATTCCTAAAATATATAAGCAAAAGAAATAAACCTTGACATGAGGCACACTCGAGACCAACTTAGCTTGTTATCAGTTGAAAATTCCAATTAAATTCTAATATATTTATAATTTTAATCATTTTTTTCACTGTAGCATTTTACCTCGTTCGGCGATTGTATGTATATAGGGGTATATATTGTTTAGATTAGCCCCAGTATAATTGGCCATCGAGCTCAACAGGTCTTAGGCGATCGCACAGTTCTTTCTGCACCGTTGAGGTGGCAGGTCGCGAAAAATTATTAACTCTTCCTTTTTCTCTGGAAATTAAGTTTCTCCTGCCGCTGTGTGTAAGTGTTGTGATCCTTGAATTATCATAATGAATAAAGTGTGCTCCAGAGTTGAGTGTATGGTTTCTATAAATTATTTCGGAAACACTTGTGATTAATTTTATGACCCAATAATGTGTGTATGCTATTTCGAGACTCATACGCCACGTTGGCAATCATGGTTGCTAATAAGTGTGTTAGCTTAATTTCTTGGCACACACACAGTCATTATCAGTGCTCGCAGGGTTAATATTACGAGGTTATCAATGTTGTCCGAGATAAGCGCTTAACTGGCCGTAAATTAACTATTCAGCCGTGCTAAGGAGCTGCTTGGCACGCAATGATTTTAAAATTCCTGACAATTGCATTAAAGTTAATGGTAATTTGACCGACGATAAGATATCTTAATTGATTCTTGATAATTACTCGCCAACATGCGTTAAACATCGATTCCCATTCGCCTGACACACTACACAGAACTATAAAGTGCTATATATGTGCTCTATATGGCGCCATAATTGCCCTGTGACGTCAGAGCACGTGATGGATCATATGAGGGTAGCAGCAAATTGAACCACTCAAACGTCAAGTTGAAAGTTGCCACAAACACAAAACGATTGCAAGACGTCGATGTCGATAATATTTTTACGGCCCACGAACGGATTTCTTAATGAGCCCCGTAACACCGGCGCGCAATCCGAACACCAATCCCCAATGAACCCCTAATTGCCGACATAAACCAGCGGGGAATAGAACTTCAAGCCCGGGACTTTGCTATCCGGTAATCAGACATTTGCGTGAAGTTCGCCCCCCCAAAGATTTATGGGCAACTTAAAGGCAATTGTCTGGTCTGTGCAGATTTATGGCTAAGACTGATGTACAAAACTGAAACCGATAAGCACAGGCTGGCTTTGATTTATCCATCTATGACCACGAGCTAAGCCCAGTCCAGTCAGCTGCATTGAACTGTTTGTGGCAATTATAGGGAAAGGAATCAGGATAATTTGCAAATAAATTTTACATTGCCTTACAAGGAGACTGAGAAGACTTCATATACATAAATAGGAAAGACTGGGAAATACATATTAAAAAAAAAGGGTTATAAAATAATGTCCTTTGGAAATAATATTCGTTTTTAGGCAAAAATATAGTAACATAAATTTAGATTTATGGGTAAGACTGTACTAAGGCAGTAAATTTAGAGGTCATTATTTGTTTAAATAATAATGTAGTAATTTTATTTATACAATTGTATAGTTTCAACATTGGAGAACGCTATGTTACCTTTGCCATATTTTATTTAAATTTTCTTATTACCAAAAAGAACTAGTTTTTGAAGAATATTTGAAGTGATATAAGTGAAAAAATATATTAATATAAATTGAATAATAATGATTCAATAATATTTGAATTAGTTTAAATAAAAATATTAAAATATTTCTAATTTAATTTAATTTATTATTAGAACTTTCTTTAAACAACCCAATCTCTTCTAACCCTTAGTCCAATTATTTTTCCTCAAAAATTACTCACTTTTTATAATAATATCACTTAAAGAACTCTATTTAAACATTAAATATTTTACTTTTCTGACATTCAACAATTTATTGAGCAATTCGAAAATCAACAAGCATTCTATTAAATTCCATTTCTATGAAGTCACTTCCTGTTGCTGTAAATCAAATCTCTCGTATCTCCGGCAAGCTCGGAAACTATCGAAAAAAACAGCCAAAGTGAGGCCACAGACAGCGCGTCTCTTTATCGGCCAGTCGAGAGCGAGAGTCAATCATCGCTTTATGGCCAGACAGGCGGGGCAAAATCACAGCCCGGCCAGTGAGCCAACCATAAATATCGACAATCTGGCATGCCCAAAACAGTTATCAGAAGACACTCACCTCCGCGCACCGCAACGCACAGGTCCTGGGCGTGCGGTAATAAGCATTTAATGCAATAAAAGACTTTCGGGGCTTATTTATAAACCAACTGATTGGCGGTAATTGTTAATAATTTCAAATTATTAATGCGCTCAGCGCTCAGTGCCCACTCCAGATAGGGTCTGTATACCGCCAGTAGATAACCACCGAGGCGATCTCGATAGCCGCCGAGAGGCAACCTCTAATCTAATCTAGTCGGTTCGGTTCATTTCGTTTCGGTTCTGTCCTGTCCTGTTCTGTGGAGTTCCACTTAGGTGATTGATTGCGACATGGGCAGCGACTGCATTGAAGTGGACCACCATAAACAATGTGCGTCAGATGGATCAACAATGTAGATACCCCATGACAGACGCAGGCCCATTAAAGAGTCGTCAAAACAACTCATTATGTCAACTGATTACACTAATATAAATAATATAACAATATAAAATATTTAAAATAGATATTTAAGTATTAAAATTGAATATAAATTTATGGTAACAAATAATAAGCTATAAGCCTCAGGTTCACTCATACAACGGTTTTTGGTAAAATTCCAGTTAAAACTCACACTAAGCGTCACTTATGTGCCATAAACTGATTTTACTATTATTGAGTCATTATTATCATTAGTGGAAATATTGATAACTATCACCATGTTTGTTCCCACGTCTCACTGGGCTATAAAAGTGGTAAATAACTGTAAACGCACACGTTTTTATTTGCAAATAAATTAGTCATAAATGCAATTACTGATTAGAAATTTTATCAATGGTTCTACATTGTTGTAAGTTCAGGTATTTAGATATTTAAATAGTTACTGTGAAATACATTATCTAAAATATTTATTGATTTGTTATTTGCATTAAAAAAACACAATTAAATTCTTAGAAACTAACATAAAATGAACTTAACTTGAATTTCTTTTCTTACTCAATACCTTTCCCTCATTTCTTACAGTGATACCTTGATACCAACATGGGTGACATGTTCCGCAGCGAACAGATGGCCCTGTGCCAGCTGTTCATCCAGCCGGAGGCAGCCTACGCCTCCATTGCCGAGCTGGGCGAGAGTGGATGCGTCCAGTTCCGCGACCTAAACGAAGATGTCAGTGCCTTTCAGCGCAAATACGTCAACGAGGTGCGAAGGTGCGATGACATGGAGCGTCGCCTCCGGTACATGGAGTCTGAGATGAAGAAGGACGAACTGACGCTGCCCGAACTGAGGCCCGAGGATGAACCAAGTGCTCCAAATCCACGCGAGATCGTGGATCTCGAGGCTCAACTGGAGAAGACCGACAACGAGCTGCGCGAAATGTCCGCCAATGGGGCCAGTCTGAATGCCAACTTCCGGCACATGCAGGAACTCAAGAACGTGCTGGAGAACACCGAAGGCTTCTTCTCTGACCATGAAGTCATCAACCTGGACTCCAACCGTAAAGTGGACCCTAACGATCCAGCCCAGGTGCAGGGAGGCGCCCAGCGCGGTGAACTGGCCTTCGTGGCCGGCGTGATCAAGCTGGAAAGATTCTTCAGTTTCGAGCGCATGCTGTGGCGCATCTCCAGGGGAAATATCTTCCTGCGAAGAGCCGACATTGATGGTCTTGTAGAAGATGAAGAGACGGGACGGCCCGTTCTGAAGACCGTCTTTGTGGCCTTTTTCCAGGGCGAACAACTGAAGCAGAGGATCAAGAAGGTCTGCACTGGATACCATGCCTCCGTCTATCCCTGTCCCAGCTCCCATGCCGAGCGAACGGAGATGATCAAGGATGTGAACGTGCGTCTGGAGGATCTCAAGCTGGTCCTCAGCCAGAGTGCCGATCACCGCAGCCGGGTGCTAAACTCTGCCTCGAAGCACATGCCCCGCTGGTCGATCATGGTGCGTAAGATGAAGGCCATCTACCACATCCTCAACTACTTCAATCCGGACGTGACGGGCAAGTGCCTGATTGGCGAGGGTTGGGTGCCCACCAACGATATTCAGACCGTGCAGAATGCCCTGGCCCGGGCCTCCAAGATCTCGGAGAGCTCCATTCCGGCCTTCATGAATGTCATCGAGACGAACGAACAGCCGCCGACTTATACGCGGACCAATAAGTTCACCAGTGGCTTCCAGAACTTGGTGGACTCGTATGGCATGGCCTCTTACAGGGAGGTGAATCCCGCTCTGTATGCCTGCATCACTTTCCCCTTCCTGTTCGCCGTGATGTTTGGTGATTTGGGACACGGTCTGATCCTGCTGCTCTTTGCCGCCTGGCTGATCATCAAGGAGAAGCAATTGGCTTCGATCAAGGAGGAAATCTTCAACATATTCTTCGGCGGCCGCTACATCATCTTCCTCATGGGTATCTTCTCCATTTATACGGGCTTCATCTACAACGATGTGTTCTCCAAATCGATGAACATCTTCGGTTCCGGCTGGCACATGAACTATACAAGGGCAGTCATCGAGGATCCTACCCTGAAGTCCATAACCCTTAGGCCCAACGATACGGTCTATAAGACCTATCCCTTTGGTATGGATCCCATTTGGCAGCTAGCCGACAACAAGATCATTTTCCTCAACACCTTCAAGATGAAGCTGTCCATCATTGTTGGCGTGCTGCACATGATTTTCGGCGTCTGCATGTCGGTGGTTAACTTTGTTTACTACCGAAAGTATGCCAGCATCTTCCTGGAGTTTCTTCCCCAGGTTCTCTTCCTTATGCTGCTCTTCGGCTACATGGTCTTCATGATGTTCTTCAAGTGGGTTGTATACAATGACACTGTCGAAGGACCTCTCTCGCCAGCATGTGCTCCCTCTATTCTGATCCTGTTCATCAACATGATACTCCAAGGCTCTCAAGATACACCCGAGCCCTGCGAGGAGTTTATGTTCGACGGTCAGAAGACACTGCAACAGATCTTCGTGATCGTGGCAGTGATATGTATTCCCTGGATGCTTCTGGGAAAACCACTTTACATTATGATCCAGCGCAAAATCAGCGGAGCTCCGCCACCAAAGCCAGCGGGCGAAGGAGGCGGCGGTGGTCATGGCGACGACGAGCCCATGAGCGAGATCTTCATCCATCAGGCCATCCACACGATTGAGTACGTGCTGAGTACGGTTTCGCACACGGCCTCCTACCTTCGATTGTGGGCCTTGTCCCTGGCCCATGCACGTAAGTTAACAATTTATTATGATTACTTTATAACATTAAAATAAATCTAATTATTATGTTACTTTATTTGCAGAGCTCTCTGAGGTGCTGTGGAACATGGTGTTCTCCATGGGCTTTAATTCCGATAACTACATCGGCTCCATCATGATCTATATATTCTTTGGGGCCTGGGCAGGGCTCACTGTCGGCATCCTGGTGCTCATCGAAGGACTCTCGGCCTTCCTTCACACACTGCGCTTGCACTGGTAAGCTTGGGTTAACTTTATCCACTTTTTTAAATGGACTATAACCCCGAATCTCTTCTCGCAGGGTGGAATTCATGAGCAAATTCTATGAGGGCGCTGGTTACGCCTTTGAGCCCTTCGCCTTTAAGACCATCCTGGATGTCAGCGAGGATGACTAGGGAGGAGTAAGGACAGGAGAGAATGAGAATGCGCAGGACGCACTTCCCCCAAAAAGCATTTTCCGTTTATTTCGTTTCGCATCCTTCGTTTTTTTGCACGGAAAAAATAAATTTCGTTTGATATGCATATTGAATACCACTGAGTTCCTGTTTCTGCTCTTGTCAGCCGACGACAAATGTTTGTCATATGCTTTCAGACAGTCTTCCTCTGGTCATCCGAGTGACAACTGCAGACAAGCCCACACAGAACTGCACATATCCGAAGCAATCTCAAAGCAAATAGCCTGGCTATCCTCAAAGGCGGGATTCCTATGCTCTGTGTGTGTTAGTGTGAGCTCGTCTTTGGCCATTTTTTTCATTAGCAAAGTTGTCATATGGTGAAATTATGTTGTCAGTTTGACTGTCCATAGAGCATTGAGTTGTGAAATTGGATACTCACAATTTAAATAATAATACTATGACAGATGGGATGCCGTGCTGCAAATGGACAGGAAGTGGCCATAGTTTGGTTTGGTTTAGATTTAAGAAATTGATATAGAAAAATTATTAAATTCCTGCCAGCTTAGATGTTCAATTTAAACTGTAAATCTCCAAGCGAAAAATAGGAAAACCTTTTGAGTTTTCCATTTACGTGAAAGTTTGCTTCCTCTATAACTGTTAAATGGCGCGAAATTCTTTTCAATTTCAATTCCAAGTTTCGGTTCGAGGCTTTGTTGGTTTTATTGGCAACCCTTAACCTGCTGCTTTAGTTGTTTTTGTTGTTAGACTGCCTCCTCTGCAAGTTGCCAAATATTTGCATTCGAACTCAATTGGTTGCGTTTTGTGTTTATTGCCTTTGGTTGCTGGCAAAAATTGAACGTGTCCTAGTCTGCATCTATCTTTTTTCGGGTTTTCGTTATCGTTGCCATGGCCATTGCCCTCCTGCCAAAAATATTTTCGCGAGCATCGGAGTGTTGACAACCAGGCAGTGGGCATTGGCCAGGTGAATGCGGAAGGTGGACAGGTGATTCGGGCCAAAACACACGCAATGAAAATACGAATTCAAACAGGCTGACAAACGCTTTGAACCCGCATGTCAAACGCTGTTTTCCCAGCAACCGAAAAACAACAAAAGCAGCTAAATGGACAAGAATTACGTGCTTTAGGAAGATTGAATTGTAAATTCCCTTTCCAACTAACTTACCTTAGTTAAATTACGCTACTTAAATATAAAGAAAATATTTAGGCAGGATTTTAGTAAATATTCTTTGGCTGAAATAAAGTTTAAAATAATTTATCTTTATTAAATTGAGTATTTTGGGTGTATGCTTTATTGCGAAGTATTATGTTTTCAAATGCTAAACCAACTTCTAGGTTATAATCTACAAAAAATAACTACCTGAATTTTCTCTTACTATCCAGACCATGCCGAGGCTTTGTCCCAGTGGCTGCCATGGTTTCAGCCCGTTTGTGCAGCTGACATACTGGTCAAGTTTTGTGCTCTGCGAAAATAGAACATTTCGCATTACGTATACGCCACGTATCGGCTGCAGCATTGGGAACAAATGCCGCCCAGAACAACAGCGGCAGTCATCCAGACGATCGGCATATAAATATGGCTACGAAATACATTAAACAAATAAATGTTTGTGCATGCAGAGACAGTTGGACTGTGTGGCAGTTGGTCGTAAATTATGTGCGCTGGCCTAATGCATTTGGCCTCGTATTAATCAATGTTTGTGCTGGTCCGTTTGTATTTGCGTTTTTTTTTTTTTTGCGCTGGACAACTGCGGCATTTGCTCGTGCATTTGTTTTAATTTATTTAACTGGCGCAATTATTTGCATTTTGTTTGGCCACGAGTTTCCTTCGATATTACTATTTTTCGCTTTTTTGTTGTATTTTGTTTTTTCCTTTTTTTGGCAGTTGTCGTTTGATTTTTTACGCCTGCCGCAACAGCGTAAATATAAATCAAACTGCATTTGTTCGGTGTCGCTGATTTGCATTGGGATTTGTTTATAAATCCGCAAACACATTTGAAATCGAAATAATAGCTATTCTCCGTGCCCCATAAATGTATCCATAGATATGGCTTTTTAATTGTTCGACTTGTGCATATTTTCCTTTTAAAATTTTTATTATTTCCAATGGCATATGCAGCCAGCGGGCGCCTAATTGAATACCAAAGCGATATAGTTCAGCTAAATGCCATTTTTTTGTACTGACCCCTTTTATGTTAGCTTTCAGTTCGGGATTTATTATTATTTAAGGCTATCAAATAAATATGCAATTTGCTGAATTGCTTTGATATAAATTTAATGAAATATGCCAGCTAGTTGTCTATTTTCATTGCGACTTTATGAACTTTTTCGGCTGCCTTTATACCTATCGAAAATCAAAGCATAAGCTCAGATCCAGATCAACTTTTTGGTGTCCCAATTTTATTATCACTCGCCACAAAAGCCAGGGCCAAATCACCGAATCCCAAATTACCCCGGCATAGGCCTTACCAGATTTTACGACACCGACAAAGTCCGTAAATCAAAAGCAGATAATTTTCCAACAGCTTCACTGTCTTGCGGCCTCACCTATCCCGGCCAACCGGAGGATACGAAGGAATAAAATAATTGTTCAGTGAGAGAGAGCCACAAATTATAACATTTTTACGCCGCTTCTTTTTCCCTTCTCGGCGGAGGCCACTAAATTTACATACTCCATGACGAGCTGCCGCCCACTCAGCTGGACGCACGTTCCAACTTTTACGGGGACGGGATTGAGGGTCTACAGGGTAAAGAGGAAAAGCGGCCACGCCGGGGGTTAGGCAGGAAAAGTGTGTGAGCACAATTGCGCGTCATAAATTTGAATTATTGTGCTCTTTGCATTTGACAACGACTTAAAAGCACTTGCAGCGATTTGGGCCAGCTCCGTCCAGTTCAGTTCAGTGAAAACTCCGAGGCAGTCAGCCATGAACATGTCCTTGAGACATGTACGAGAGACCGGTGATACACTGTGGGAAAAATATGAGGGGGAAATGAATTCTAAGACGAAATTAAGAGGTCTTTAAACTATAAAGGAAGTTATCTTTTTTAAAAGCTTTTAATAAATGAAACAATTACTGTCATTATTTTTAATATATTTTTTTAAGTATTTAACATAACACAACAACTTTAAGCACTATAACAATAAATTAAACATTATTAGAGACATAAATAATAGAGTAAAAAATTATCTTTATAATTTAATTAAAAACTCTAATATAATAAAAATTTATTTGTATTATTTCAAGTGTAAAAAACGCCTCACAACCTCGCCACCGCCATCTTTTTGTTCGCTCTGCCTGGCTGCACAGTGCTGCCACGCCCACAAGAAGAGCAACAACAATGCCAGGGACATTTTTAGTGGACATTTATTTTATGCTCGAATCGCATTGAAATTTACGCCGAAGGCGCCAGGCTTTGTTGATGATGAAGTCGGTCAGCCCTGTGCGGTGGCCTGTCTTTTGTCGGGCCATAAAATTTTCCCCCCAGCCCATCCAACGAATGGGCTGCCAGCTTCCTTTCAGCATCAGCATCAGCTTTCTGGATCAGAAGCCGGAGCAGAAGCAGTAAAGTGCATTAGCCATTTTAGCACTTGACGCACATTCATCCACCAAACGGTGCTGAAATCCCCAGTCCTAATTAGCCAGAACTGCAAGGCCAAGCTCGGCTGCAGCTCAGTTGTCTTAAAGTGTTAAAGCATTTTGGGCCCAGGCTTCATCTCGGCTCCGTCTATCAGATGGAAAGTGACAGACAGCTGAAAACGGGATTAATTTGTCACTGAATGCGAGCTGTGCTGACAGCCAAGCCCAAGCCACAAATTGCTCGAGATATACATTCTTGAGTAGCGTCAAAAGAAAGCCAAGTAATTTGATATTTCCACAAATATATATTATTTTGTGTGGGGTAGTGGGAGGAGGGCGTTGAATTGACCATGTTAACAATAAACAATTGACCACATGACATGACAAGCAACGAATGCGCTGGCCAAGAATGTTTCCATCAAAATGTAAAGTGAGTGAAATGAAAATCGAATCGAGAGTACTTCATACTTGTAATAAATAATAATAAAAATATATTTTGGGACCTTATAAATAGCACACCAAAATTTAATTTGCTAAAATTAATATTTTAGAATAGTATTATTAAATAAAAAAATAATTTTGCTCATTTTTAGTGCTTTATAAAGTTTTAAATGAAGAAAACTAGGCAAGTTATGGCTTTAACATTTTTTAGATATTAAACAAAAAATTTTGAAATATTTAATTAAAGCTTACTTGAAGTCAAATTGAAAGCATTTAATATTAGTTTTGTTAATTAAACTATTTTTTTAAACCTGAAAATATTTTTTCGAATATTTCTTTAGCATTTAATTTGGAACATTTTTATTGTTGTGATCTATTTTTTGTATTATTAAGCAATTTAATCAGTATTCCCCGACTACCATTGACTGCTGAGTATCAAAAAACGCTTGTGGGCTGCAATAAAACTATTAAACGTTCCAGACTCATACATGGCGGGCCTCTTTGTACTCGTTCAATTGTACAGCAATTTTATTTGTACGTTTTTTGGTTCATTTTGGCCGTATTTTCTTTTTTTTTTTTGTGACTCTGGGCCATGTCTGCACAAATGTTGCATAGCAATTGCTTTGTGTGTTCAATTTTTGGCATAACAACAAACAAGTGCACACACAGTCGCCCACATAGACACTCACGCACACACTCTCAGTTGGACAGCAACAATGGGCAGTCAAACAAATGAACAAGAGCGCACAAATTTTGCAGCTGTCAGTAGCACAAGCCAGGACACGAACCAGGCACAACAGGAGGCACAAAGCAAAATTTTTTATTTGCCAAAAAAAAAAGGAAAAAGGAAGAAAAACGAAACCCGAAATTGTGGTTTAAAATAATTTTTTTTTGTTTTCGTCTTATTTTTTAGTTTAGTTTTCTGAGAAATGCAATGGCCAGCAGCCAAAATCGTTTTTGTCCGAGTGGGCGTGGTCGCAAATTGTTAAATGCTTAGATGTCTGCAAAGAATTTGTCGCCAAGAGGCGTTCGGAATGGATTTTCCGTTTCCAGCTGCCGTCACGTATACGTAATATGGCCGATGGCAGCTCCCGAAAGTATGCACCACAAAAAAAGCGGAGTTCTTCCACGCGAATAGATGTTGATAAATGTTTTTAGTCACTCCACTTCGGCCTGGTTGTATGAAAAATGGGTTATTGATAAATGGCATATTGTTTTAGTTACCGACAAGTTTTTTTCCAAGTCTAGCGAACAAATTATGACGAATGCCGGGCATTTATTTTGCTATTTTTTCTTGTAGTTCCATGTTTTCATAGCAAAGAGTTTGATGACTTTGTTCAAAAAAATATCATAATAATAAGCCATCAATTTGATATTATTTATACATTTTAGTTTGCATAATAAAACACAAATTATGAGTGCGACTAATGTTTTTAAATTAAGATATTATATTTATTAAATAAATCATAAAAAAACACATTGAAAAGCTGTTAAGCCAAAATCCATTTAAATTGCAAACCGGCTTGATAAAATTAGAGAAATCCAAAATAATTAAATTCAATATTAGTAATAATAAATTTATTTAATATAAAAATATTACCTACTCAAAATTCAATTCTAAATAATCTTAAATATACTTTAATCTTAAAGAACTATCCTGTTTCATCCCTAACCAAGCCACACTATTTAGGCAGATTAGGCAAATCTAATTACGCTTGCAATAAGCAGCTAATAAACCTCTAAGCAGCTATTAAACGCAACGACTCTGCTTAAAGGCGCTGAGCTCTGTGGCCGCATTAAACGCACCCGCAGATATATGGCAACGTTATCCCCTTGTTGTTATGGCCGGCGACGCTCCTTTTGGCCAGGGTCGCATTTAATTGTGCGCCATGTTCAACAGGCCATTGTACATGCGTATTAAATGTAATTAACTCATTATAAATGATAACGTGGTAGCAGGGAGTGGCATTCAGGTATGTCTCTATGTCTCAAGCCGCCAAGAAGGCATCCTCGATGCCACCACGGTCAGGACCTCTCTTTCCCAGCGCCGTGGCGGCTGTCACAGCTAATTTAGTCGGGCAGCCGGCAGAACGAACGTGTTGGGTTGTACCACCGTGCCGGGGGTAAATGCGAAATTATTACCGGAAAAGGACAATGAGACGCACTGGCTATTATTCAGTTGGCGGCCAAACAGGACTAGATATAGTGCTGCCGGCACCAGTAGAGGGAAAAACCGATAGGGATTCCATTTACAAAAAGACAATAGAAGAGGAAAATATAAATATTTATATATTACTCTAATTTTTAGTCATGTCTCAAATAATGAATCTATAATCTTAAGCCTTAAGTAATAATTAAAGCGAATAATTATAATATAATACATAAATATAAAAAATCAATCAAATATTGGGAAACGTCTAAGCTTTACAAAATTTTAATATATAAGAAATATATAAAATTCTCCTGACCTACTTCCTTTTACAGAAAGACAACTCTGCCCGGAAATGGACAAATTGGTAGCACTGTGTAGAAAAGTTCCAGTCCTCTCCGAAAGCAGGTAATAAAAACTCCTTTATGCGCTCGAGTGTTCCGCTTCTCCCTGTGATATTTGGCCCCCCTGCATTCGTTGGCTCTTGGTTTATTTTATAGTTTGTCTCTCGCCTTATTTTCACGCTCCTGCCACCTCGAGTCAGCCTTTTAATTATGTAACACGCTCCGACACAGGAGTGTTGCCTTACGCACCTCGGCATTGGAGCTCAGGAGGTGGCTTTCCCATTTTCTCCCAGCTGGTCTACGAGTATTTTTCGCATTTCCGCATTGCCGCTGGCCAGTTGCGTGTGTTCCATGTGTGGACTTAATTCAGATAAAGCGAAATTGCTGATAAGTTTAATTGGTTAAATGGTGACAAACGTTTTCATTTATTTTCACATGAGAAGGAGTTGTATTTTTTAAAACATAAGATGCTTTTAGAAATTCCTAAAAAAAAAAAGGAATTAAGACACGTAAGTTAAGAGTATATGAAATAAATATTTCAAGCTTATTATTTAAAAAAAATATACCTAAAAATCATACCCATTTTCTACTTTTCACTGTCTAATTTCTTTCAAGCTCTTAAAAACGCAATTCAAACTTTAAGACAATTACAGATAAGTTTTATTGGCAAAGTGCTTGGCATAAATGGTGACAAAGCACTTTCATTTCTCACAAGCAAATCATTTGCCAATGCCTTCGTTAAAGACCGCAATTTCTGCGGGTGTTCGACTTTAAACAACATAAAATCTTGAAAATTCAATTTAAATCTTGAAACGAGTGCAGAAATGGAGGCAATGAGAGCCGAGGGAGAAGACTAACTGCCAACATTTACCATCAATAGCCGCATTTGCTTATATCAAGTGAAAACTTTCTTATCGGCGGCACAGCGGCAACTTCAATGACAAATTGAGACAGCGATGTGCAGCTGAGAGGGGCGCAAGAGGAGCCAAAAGTTGGCTAACACACTCGCACTCAAACTCACACTCACACTGATATAGATTGGCTTGTCGCTGTGACAACTTGCCACTTTGAGCACGTAAATTTTTGCCGTCTCTCTTGCCTTTTGAATTGATAAGAAAATTCATAAAATTTTCTTGCAATGGCAGCCAAGGATAGAAAGAATGGGAGGGAAAACGTGGGGGGCCCGGCCCTGAGGCAGAAAACGCAAAACGCAATCCAACTCAAGTGTGTCAGCAGCCGTGAAAGTGCCATTTGAGCCGGGCCGCAAACTTTTGCTGCCAACTTGCTAATCTAATGAACAATTGTGGCTGCAGGCCACCTTTAACACCTCCCTGCCCCGAGGACGAACTCTGGCAGGCACCTGTGCTCCCCAACTTTCCGGTACTGCAAATGCAGGAGATTAAAATGAAAATTAAGCTTCCATTCGGCATGTCAAACGAGTGCGCTTATTCTTGGGCATTTCTAATTGAATTTTCCGTCAACGATTTCGGCAGGAATTTAATGCAATTCGTTGAGTTTTTTAAATTGCCAGCAAAGTTTGCAGACGACATCGGCGAGCTCAAACAAGTCAGCAGTCAACTTAATTGTCATAATTTGTGTTTACAAGCTTGACGAACTTGCTAAATAAAAGAAAAACCTACGGTAAAGAAAACAGAATAATAAAAAAGAAATTGAAAAATCCGAGGAAAAATAGGAAGCCGGGCTGAAAGGATGCGAAGGCAGGCATATGTGGCCAGCTGGCTGAGCAAAGTTTTCTGCTCAAAACAAACTAACAAAAGGCCAAAGCAAATAGAACAGATGCTGCAGCCAGCAACAAAAATTGTGCTGTGGCAGGCGAAACCCAAACACAAAACGAAGCTCTTTCTTCGGATTTTTAATACGCTGCAATCTCAATTTAAAAATTATTCGTTATGTGAATCGGGAGAGAAACACAACTACTATAACTACAATTATAAATTATTATTATTTAATTTACAAAAAAAAAAATTACCTTAAATAACTTTTAATTCTCCTAGCTTTAAACTCATGGCAAGCCCATCGACTGCTGGGTAAGTAAACATTATCTCCCCAAGAATCACAAAGAATCCAGCGAAACCCTGAACTAAAATTGGACACTTAATGCTGGGTGGAAGGAAGACGACGGCAAAAGACAAATAAAGACTAAGCAAATAAAATCTAATAAAACCAAGGACACAAAAACTTGAGCCAAGCCGGCGAAAATGAGCTAAATGCTGCAAGGGGAAGTGAGGAATGGGCGGACTTGGGGAGCTGTTAGAGTGAGGCGAGAGAGCAAATGAAATAAAGTGCCAGAAGTATGTTTCATTAGCGGCAGCAGCAGCAGCAGCAGCAGCAGCAGCAAACCAGACAACAAACAAAGGACAATGGTCGGCCAAGGACACATGCTCCAGTGGAGCTGCTTGATGAACTTCATCCAGCAAACAAGCACACGAAAAAAAAGAAGAAAAAACAAGAGCCAAACTGCTGGGGACGGCTGAATGTATTTACACTTCAATTGGAGTGGTCTTTAATTTATAAGGGTGTGTGAGAAAAAGCATTTAAGAATCTCCTCACAAGGATTTATTCTACCTTAAGAATATAAACTTGATAATTAAAAGATACCAAATATTAATTAATTAATAAAGCACTATTTTAATAAGTTCATAATTTGGTTTAAGACGAGCATGACTTCTGAAGGAAAAAAATATAGAAGTCTCCTTTCCCTGAACAACAGTATAACATTTGTTAAGCTTTTCACTACACTTGCAAAAAAAAAAAAATTAACTTGAGATCTGCATTCTGCTAAATTAACAACAAAAAGTTTAATACGTGTGAATTTTTAATTTTCATGAAATATAAGAAATCTTTTTAAGATTTTACTTAGAAACACTTGTTTAAGTTCAGTTAAATGAAAAAGCTGTTAAGAGTTATAGCTAACTCGAGGTCTAGTAGGCTTGTAACTCCAAGAAAAACTCGTACAATTTTAGCAAAATAAAAAAGACTTCTGGTTATTTTGGTACTATGGATGCAGCCAAGCATATCATAACCATTAATTAAAAAGAAAAACGCGACTATAAACATATAATCCAGATTCAAGTCGGTGCAATAAATATATCTCTATTTGCAGAGAAAATGTAAGAAATAAACCCACAATCACAATCTCCCGTGATGTAAAAGAAGTGCCATATAAAAATATAAGCCAAAACTAAGCTCAATAAAGATTTATTTTCCTTTGAATTTTTTACATTTAATTTTCTGTAATTAAACTCCTTTAGGTCTTCGTATGTATTCAAAGGACTTAAGACAAAAGTCCTCGCAACCCTTTACACCATCGAAAAATCCGCATGGCTCTTTATTCATAGGCACAGGATAGCATGTATGATTCCGCTCATTGAAGCCCCAAGTGTTGTTTTGATAGCAAGTTATTGAGCCGCCAGTTCGTTTGCAAATGGCTTGAAAAATAAGATATACATTTAATTACACGATTATTATTTTATATTAGTATTAATTTCTCACTATTATACACTGGACTATGGACATAAGCAAGGCTAACCGAAAAATATAGTACGGCAATGAGGAACGGAGACTTCATGGTGACTGCTAGCCAAACGGAAATATAAAATATTTGGGAGGCAATTTAATAGGCAAAGTCTAATTTTTCACTATGAAAATACCGAAAATATTAGGTAGCCGAAATGTAGTTTCTTTATATATAACTATTTAATTTTTTTTGCCACTTCTTTGTTTTACTGACTGCACTTAGAGAGTTACTTATATACTGGCACAAGTTTTTCAGTCGAGCCGATGTGTTGGAAATAACCAGCTGTTTGAATCTTGTGTTGAAATGTGCGAGGCAACAAATATATATAGTTAAAAAAGGTGAAATATGAGAAATTTACCTAAGCGCGCTTTTCAAAACTTAAGGTGAAATATACTTAGGAAATTTGCTAATTTTGTTCTTAACTAGAGTGTAAATTGTATACAATAATTTTCTTAAGAAAAATACTTTTAACAAAGCAGCAAACCAAAGAAGAAATACTATTTCTTTGAACCTCAACAAAAAAATTTAAATATTTTAGCTATCTGCTAGCTGCCAAGAAAAATCAAAGCCTCGTGTGTCTCATTTTTGGGTTCAGTGAGAATATAACAATTTTCATTTGTCGAAACATTGCCAACACAACAACAGCTATGTAAATGTAATCTTATTGCCGACACGCAAAATTCGAAAATGGAACAATGCGAAAAGCGGCGAAAAAATAAATAAATAAAACTCAACGCGAAATGCCGCAAGTGCTCTCATAAATTTTAAGCGATTTTATAATGGCCGCTACTTCTAGTTGTCGCTTTGTGTTCGCTCTTCTGGCTCCCGGCGTTTTAATAACATTTTATACATGGACATAACGCCGAGTCACGATTTTTCAATTATGCCAGTCGGTATGAGTTGTGTGACGAAAACCAATTGCTGCTCATAACTTTTTGCCGGGAATGAAAACTCATTTTAGAAATTAAATTAAAACTGTCAGGAATAAGGAAACTGTAAGGGGTGAAATTATCTCAACAGTTTATTAAAAGATACTTACGAAGTCCCGAATGTGCACAAATCGCTTAATTGAATCAATTCATCGAGTATATAAGTCTGGGGACAATCTCTACTCGAGCAAATAAACTGTCAAGCCCAAATCACATACACAGAACATCAAACTAACCTTTTACAGATCGGTAACAATTTTCCCCTTTGTTAATCTTCATTAATCAAAAGCATACACGCTCACAAAACTATAAACACATCTTGAATGGGTGATTAAAATAAGCTTAGAAACTAAAACTCGATATAATTATGCAAGAGACATTGGGGATAATTTTGATAATAACTCAAGCAAAGGAAACTTTATGTGGGGGAGTGTGTGTGTTTGGGTTGGCTTATTATGAATGCTCGAATAAATTGCTGCTTAAAATTTATGCTGTGGACTCGTAATTCGAAAATTATATGTGTGGCTTTAATTGCTCAGTCATTCAGTTGGACCAACATGTAGGCCATAAATAGAACCCAAGAACTTGGTATATATTTACTGAAAGGTTTCATCTTGGTTTTCCATTTCATTAGAATTTCAAATGTTTACATTTAGATTTGTTTAGATTTTTCGACAGGGTGTTTTGGCAACTATCTGCCAATTATTATGAAACTATTTCAAATTTTTTGGGTTGCACCTAACAATCAACTCATTATGCAGCACAAAATGTATCCTAAAAACTACAACCATTAAATAAGTAATTAAAATGTAATTATAGTACTCGCAATCGCAATTTAATTTATTAGAATAAATGGCTTTAATTGAGTCAATTAAATTAAAAGCGAGAATATGTACATATATAAGAGGAAGGGCATAATTAATTGGCAAACTAAAAATTCTAAATTGTATTATATAAAAAAGTATTTTGGAATTAGTAATTTATGCTAAATGAAATTTATTTTCCTGTTTATACATAATTTTAAAGCTGCCAGAGGTCTGATGATTACTGGCTTTGCTATTAAAATATTTATACAGTTTGCCCAGTCAGAGAAACACCCTCATCCTGATGGAAACACAAAAACCAAGCCTACAGGACATACATACAATACATACATGCACTCATGCTGGTATGACATGTTTTTACAGTTACGTAACAAACAACAACAACAGCAGCCAGCCAGCCCTGTTAAAGCCCAAAAGGCCTAAAAGGCTGCAGGCAAATGTAGTGACAGTTAACATTAACACCAATACAAGCGTAAACATATGCTAGAACGGCCGTATGTGTGTGTGTGTTCAATGGCATAGGCAGGACCTTCTAATTGGTCGCTAGTGCAACTGGAATGCATGGTTGCCATTGCTCCTGTTTGGCTGCTGTAGCTGCCAATTTTAATTGAATTAGAAAACATATAGAAGAGGCACACTGCTCAGAAAATATAATAAATAAATTGAAACCGACTTAACATTTTTTAAAATTATTTTTTCAAGGAAAAACTTCATTGAAAATAAATCGAAATAAATTCGAAATGCTTATTTTTATTTTAGAAATTTAAAGAAAGTTACATTCCATTAATTTGCACTTCATCTTGGTGATCTAAAAATATATATTTTTTTATTTAAGAAAATATATATATTTAATATATTAAACATTTTGAAAATAAGCTTACTGTGCACAGCAAATCCACATAAACACGGACACGACTATTCCAGCATGCAAACACACTTCAGCGAGCATCCTGTTTTTCGGCCTACACCATCCGCACACACCCACACACACCCGCAGTCTATGCCACAATGTCACTCAAGCAGGTACTAAAGTTAATTACCGCAATTTCCGTGGAAAATTGTTTTATGCATTGACAGCGTGTGGGTCGAACCATGGATTTTCCATGTGCTGTATATATGTTACGTATGTGAGGATAGGGCATGCCACGCGCTTATTTTATTAAGTGCCGCTATTTTTCGGTTACAGCTACTTTTATGGCCCCTACACATGGTGTAGGTGTGAGTGCATTCCAGACTATATTACTCCCCCTTTTTCCAAATTCCATTACAATATGCGAAGGTTTTCAGTTTTTGGTGTTTTCGCGGAGGCTGCGTTGGAAAATTCTACAGAGGAACACAACTGAATTAGCGAATATTCTCTTTTTAAATTATTTGCTGCACGGAATTATATTTTTTTGAGAAACTATTTTACAATTAAATAAATTCCTAAATGAAATTGCAAATTATTCGAATTATTGAGTTAAAAATTTACTAAGGTAAACCTTTTCAATCTTGTGCATCTTGACTTTATAGTTCTGTTATAAATAATATAATACTGCAATTAGTAAAATAGTTTAAAAATATCCAAAAATTTAAAAACAATTTAAATAACTTGCTAAGCACACTATTTGGGAGTTTCCCAAATGAAGCCTTTCATGCTTCCCAGAAATCATATTCAAATGCTGCCCAAAGGGCATCCAACCTGCGGCTTTTTACTCAATTTCACTGCTATGACTGTTTTTGTTTTATTTGCCGCTGTTTAGTTAATGGTTTAGCGTGTTACCCGGCGCACTGTGGCAACAATTCTTGTTTATGCGCCGCAAACATTTTTACCACTCTCCCCGAGACCCTGGCCCCGGGCCCTGGCTCCTTCCTTACCCACGGCTGCTGATGGCATTAAATTTTATTTCACTCAAAACCGCGCACCCATAGAATTGTTTGTGGGTGTGTATGGATGTTGCTTTTGCTTTTGGCCCTGTTGCCATGGCCAACATTGTTAACTTTGACGAGGGACTGCTGACGGCTGCACATGCCGTTGTATTTAAATAAATTGCAGCCCCTTCGCCATTGCAATTGTGGCGCAAATTGCGCTAATTTTGCTGATTGTGTAGTTTCGTTGTAGTTTTTGGTCCTTTTTTTTTTAGTTTTCTATACTATGCTCCCCTATTTTTTGTTGCTGTTGATAAGCTTCAAACTTTTATGGCCAACTTTTGATAGATATTGGCCAGACAGCTATGGTAGGCCAGCCATCACAATGAATTAGATGCCATGGAAATGCAATTAAATAGGCAGTTGCTGATCGATTGGTAGAACGAAATTGAATTATTTAATATTAAAGACTTTAAGTTTAATTTTAAAGTTTAGATTTCCAACTTTATGAAGAAAACACATCACTAAAACATCTCTGGTTTCAACCTCAAAATTGCAGCTTTTATTTTATTAATGCAACACGCTTCCAAAGACCAAGTCAAGTTTGGTTTTTACACTCTTTTTCCTAAATAAATGTTAGCTTCTCAGCATTTACTGTGATGTCATCCCCTAATATTGCACCCGAAATGTTGCAATATCTTGACACCAAGTTTTGCTGGCCGAAACTCAAGCAAAGTTATCCTGTCCATTCCCTTTCCCCCCGTGTCCAGCTTGTGAATTCTCACGCCTTTTAACTCAAGTTCCTCGAGTAATTGACCTTCTTGGAGAAAGATGTCAACGGGGGGTAGGGGGAGAAGAGACAGCCAGCATTTCGAGCTTAGCAACTTTCACATCACTAAACCACTGAAAGTTGTTGACTTTATGCAACTTTTTCGTGGCCACAGACAACTACGTGAGGGTCTCTGCCAACACTTCAAGAGCACCCCTCCGAAAACTCCACCCAGCACCCTTAACACCACCCATCGGTCCGCCCTGCTGAAGGTTGACAAACAAGTTTGTTGTGCCTTGCATTTTTTGCACTCCAGCGACATTTCTTTTTGCACAAATATAAGCCCGATAAAGTGGGCGGGTCTGCCCAGTGCCCAAAACTGCTGGCGTCAGTTGCTTTTAGCATACCAACACTCTCGCAGACTAAAGGCTTACGCATACATGGGGGGAAAAATTCCAGGAGAATTGTCAAAATAAACACTCTTATGTATATTTGCTGCTCCTAATTTTTAAAATTTAACAAGTCCGTTTGATTTTATTAAAATTTTATATAAAAAGAAAGGTTACTGCGCTGCAATTAACGTAATTCTTTTTGTACAACAAAATCTTGAGATTGATGTTTAAATATTCTTTTTATTCTGTTTTACTCATTTAAATTCATTTAAAATTAAAAAAACTTAATATTCACTAATCTAATGATACAGTTTTCGCCGTGTAAAACCGAGACATGCTCTCACATAACTTTGTGGACATGGCCAACGACACGTGCTGCAATTGAATTTGTTCGAAAAACGCAATAGAAAACACCCACTGAAGCCGAATGGAAAGGACCAGAAAGGAACAGAA